TGTGGCCAAGTCTCAGCTCCTGTCTTACATCGATCGCCTGGCCCCCCGCAGTGAGTAATCAGCCCTGGGAGAGGTGAATGAGGTCAACTGAGGGACAGGAATAGGGTTATTCAAAAGGCAGGGGTGGGTAGGGAGGCCAGGTCTTGGAGAGGATTGGTGGCAGGGAAAGAGGGTGTTGCTGTCACGAATGCTTCACAGATCTTAAGGTGTCTCAGAAAGGACAGGGGTGGGCAGAGTGATTTCAGTCCAGGCCAGGCCTCGCCAGCCCTATCCTTGTGTCTTTTGTCCTGTGCTTGTGCCCGTCCTTGTTCCGTTCTCTGTCTCTCTTTCAACATGTCTGCTTATTTTCTTCCAGGTCAGTACACGACAGGCCGGGGCTCCTCAGGAGTAGGCCTTACGGCCGCCGTGCTAAGAGACTCTGTGAGCGGAGAACTGACCTTAGAGGGTGGGGCCCTTGTGCTGGCTGACCAGGGTGTGTGCTGCATCGATGAGTTTGACAAGATGGCTGAGGCCGATCGCACGGCCATCCATGAGGTTATGGAGCAGCAGACCATCTCCATTGCCAAGGCAGGCATTCTCACCACACTCAATGCTCGCTGTTCCATCCTGGCCGCTGCCAACCCCGCATACGGGCGCTACAACCCCCGCCGCAGCCTGGAGCAGAACATACAGCTTCCTGCTGCACTGCTCTCTCGATTTGACCTCCTCTGGCTGATCCAAGACCGCCCCGACCGAGACAATGACCTACGGTGAATGAAGCTCAACACCCAGAGAGATCCCCTTGTAATGCTCTGTAGGGAGGGAGGTGAATTGGAAAATCGGTCAAATTCTCTGTTCCTGGAACCTCTAGGGCCTTCCCTGTTACAGCAGGGGCTAGTCCACGGTTCCTTAGGGAAATGGTGGGTTAGGGCTGAAATGCTGAAGATTTCCCAAGGAAAGTCTGTCCTTACCATGCTGTGCGGTGGTGGAGCAAAGGGAGGGATACTTAGGGCAGGGGTGTGTGACCCTAAAAAGAATGTTCCTCCTTGCCTCCCCTCTTCCCAGGTTGGCCCAGCACATCACCTATGTGCATCAGCACAGCCGGCAGCCCCCTGCACAGTTCGAACCTTTGGACATGAAACTCATGAGGTAGGAAAGCTGGGCGCCCTTCAGGCAGGTCACCAGCACGTGACTGTCTCCTGGGCCGTGAACGTCTCCTGGAAAGCTGTTAGTCTCGGGGCGTATATTTTCCACTGGCACAAAACCCACCCCCCCTCCAACGTGTACCGAGCCTGAACACTGTGAGGCAAGGTCCCCTCCCGAGCCCCCAGCGTGGCCAGATGAGAACAGCCTGTCGCCGTCCCCCTCACCATCACCTCTCCCTGGGGTGAGGCAGGTCCAGTGGTTGTGTGCCATGAGCACACCAATCCGAGATCTGAAACTTCTTGAGTGCCAACATGATAACAGAGGTGGAAAATTCCACACCTGACCTCACGTGACAGGTCACAGGACATGAAACTGTTTCCTACACAAGATCATTCAAAGTTTTATATGAAATTATCCTTTGGCTATATACATAAGGTCTGTATGAAAACATAAATGATTTTTTTTTTCTGAGTTGGAGTCTTGCTCTGTCGCCCAGACTGGAGTGCAGTGGCCACTCCTGGCCACCGCAGCCTCGACCTGCT